GACAAACAAACGGACAAGAAAGCGAGTTAATAAAAACGTGTTAATAAAAAATATGCTTGTGAGGAGATTCCTACAGAATTTAAAAGTGTACTTAAAATTTCAAGTTTCCATTCACCTTTGTTGTAAGTTTTTTTGTGACTTGAGAAATCACACGCATGCAAGTATTGTGGGTGATACGGAGTACTTGAAATATTACCAAAATGATTTACTGTATGTATTGCGAAAATATTCTTATTTTAAGGTTTATATTTTCGGTGCACAGGCATTTTGGAAGTTTCTTGCTTGGAATTACCAACGTTTAGTGAAAACTTCTCCGTTTTTAAGGGAAAGAAGCATATCTAAAGATATACATTTTCTTCAAAGAAAACTTGCGATCTCTTTGCTCCCTTTTCCTGGAAAACATCCGAATGAAAAAAAAAGCCCTGTATTTGATGTAGAGCTATTTTCAATGAACGTGAAATGTATTTCACCTAAGTGCTGAAAACCATCGACCTTTGTATCTTTTGTGGATACAATATTGGTGGAAAAAATGAACAAGGTTCTTTCGTCGAATATTTGACGCGCTTTTTGCATGAAGCTGTGAAATCTGTGTGCATCTTTTTTTTGCTTTTCGTGGATTCCGAGTTTCTTTTTTCAGTGATTGGGAAAAATTTCTTCATATCTCGATAGTAGGTCGGATGATCACGGAATATTGCAAAATTCACTCACTTCGGGAGCTGTTGATTAAGCTTTCACCTGTTATCGATATATTCCAGAAATTCGTTTTCAGAGAAAGTGAAATATTTTGACCTGACTTCTGAGACAATGTACCTAAATTTTCCGAGAATATTTTTCATTTTTGCGGCGTTTTTGGCGCTATTTGTTCCCTCAGAGATGCTGGCCGAAGACGCCGGTGTTCAGTTGAATTATGATTCCGAGTCTGACCAGTGAGTCGCCAATACTGTATACCTAATTATTTCTGCTGATACACGCCCATCCGAAAAATGTTGTTAAGAAGCCTAAAATCACTTTAGGTTTTCCGAAACATTATTTTCAGACCCATGAACGGAGTTTCTGAGAACGTTGCGCCAAATTTCAAGGACTTCCCGGCATTTCTGATTCAACGATTTCGAAGATCACCGCAGTCCAGCAGCAGAACTCATTCCAGCAACGACGTTCAATACAGAAGATCAAATTCGCCTTTGGGAATAGAAGCTTGCTTTTGTACTGGAGATGATACGAGACAAGATGAACACTGTATCTGCTTTCCTGGGCCTCATGGAAAGAAATTTCACGTTTGTTTGACGTTCATTGGAGTGCCGTATTGCACGCCTATTTTTGGGTGAAATCACGTGCTGTCGTGGTGACTTTATTGTGGAACGCAAATTTTTATTAAAGGTTGCAATTGATTTCACGAAAGAATCCAGTCCAAATTTCGTCATCTTGATTCTGAATGTTCAGGAAAATAAATGCTCGCAAGGACCGGTCCACAAAACTATTTTCCAGAGCGAGAAGCCCAAGACAAAAACCACGCATGTTCTTTTTATAGTTTCCGAGCATTTTTGAACGCTGAAAATTTCATTTTAAAAATCATTCAATGTAGAAGTTTATTTCATCTTGATTCGTAATACAGTATTCCAGAAAAAATAAATCCTTCAATGAATATAAACACAAAGCTAGTTTCCAGAATGAAAAGCCGGAATTCAGTTACAATTTAATCATTTACAGTGATTGAATGTTTTCAGTTCTCAAACTATAATAGGGTGTTTTCAGTTATTTTCTTTTTTAATGGTACCTTTGCTGTAGAGAAAGAACAGTTTTGCAACCCAACTCCGGGGAATTATATTTGGCTTGCCCTTTAATTAGGGATGTGATTTGATCCTAGTTATTAATCGTGTGCTTAACCCAAAATTTCCCCTCAGCATACATCTCATGGGATTGTATTTTTGGCCGCGCGGTGAATTTTCCAATCGGGGGTGTTTTTTTTAAATTTAAACTTCGATA